AAAATATCACATTCACACCAACAAAATGAAACAATAACCCAGTTGCCCTGACTGAATATCTCTGTCGTATTAACTAACAATCTCACCTACGCATTACCATTATTGTTTTCATATTAATACAACTAACAGTAATGTGTTTAGATAGAATACAATATAACTCCCACTTTATAAATACATCTGATAAAGTGTTAACTTTTGATCTTTATCTTTGTTGCAGGTATGTAAGTGGAACAATACCCATCCCCACACACTACTTTGTTGTGCTGACCAGCTGCTTAGACTTCACACAGGCTGCAGACTCGTGTAGCGGTCCGCTCAGCAGCGCCGCATTCATCCTGCCCCACAGACCCAGCAATGATGAGACCTGCAACGTAAGCAACAACGCTGCATCTTTGAATTCACCATCACATTTACAGATCCCATTTTAACACTCTGTGTCATGAGACGATTTAACCCAATTCAATTTGTACAGCGCCAATTCAAAACGCACATTATCTAAAGGTACTTTACATAGGAAGGTTGAGACTTAAGATATCGTAGAGAAACCTGCAACAAACTGTTAAGAGCCCAGTGTACTTCATGTTATCCAACACATTTGTAGTCATGCGAAACAGATACAGCTTCAGGTGGCACATATATAATGATGCATTCAGGACTTTGCTCAAGCTTCCAAACCATGTTGTGACAAGTGTGTGGCTTGCACATGTCCATACATGTGCAGGCCACACACTTGTCACAAACAAGCAATGTCTCCACCTTTCATGCACAATGTTATGCTTGGATTAACTGACTCAACAAACGTGATCATAAGGGACAACACCGAGTTGTCACTTGATGCTTATCTTCAAGCTCTACTTGAAATGTATGTATTTTATTTTATTTTTATACTGATATGGCTCTACGAGTGTGAAATAAAGCTCAGTGATAATAATAATAATAATGACACTGAGAGATTGCTAATTCTAGATTATGATTATATCTATTGTGTGATATGTCATATCCATCTGTAGGTTGTACTTAGTTTTTTTCCACTGACCTTGGTGGTGCGGCCACTAGAGTGGACTAAAATCTTGAAAGGAGAAGAAAAGAGAACCCATCCTAATGCTGTGTCCTCCTCCTCCTCACAGAGCTCAGAGGAGGAGTCCCGCTGGGTGGAGGACCTGATGAAGATGCATACAGCTCGGGTCAGAGACGTGGAGCTCTTGACAGGCCTGGACCTGTACCGCAGAACCACCCGGAGCTACGCTGAAATCCTCTCGCTGAAAACTTATATGCACACATACGAGAGTGAGATTTGATCTCTGAGGGCTCTGTTGATGCTTTTGTTACTGATCTTTTTCAGCCGTGGTGGATGTATGTGGTACAAGGAAGAGATGGGATTGTCTACACTGACCTACACTAGCTTCTTCTCTTCCTGGGCACTGTTGCTATCATCTGTAGCTGTTCTGCCCCTTCACTGAGCATTTGGATTCCTCTCAGTCATTTTATCTATTCAGCAGGACAGCAAGACATTTCTTCTGCTATGTGTTATTGTTTCATGTTTGACTCTCAAATTTAATAAATTACAACTTGCATTCAAGCAAATTACATCAAACAGAAAGACACCTTCAAATTAAGGACAGCCACATGAAAAGTCTGGACCTACATATTATTCTGGCATTCCAACACACAGTTAATCTTATTTTAGAATCCACTTAAAATTTAAAAGTCAAGGGCTCAGATTATATCTGTTTTTCTGCCGTACTGTGCAAACCACCAGAGAGGTTGTTGAGGTTGACACTAATCTGCCCTGTAAAATGTTCATGACAAAAAATGAAATCACCAGCAACATGGCCTCAACAACTTGTCAGGGGATCCAGGGGCAGGATATTTACTGCCAGGCCGCCACTCAACTTCATAACTACTTCATAGTCACATACATATACTGCAGATATACCATTATGATATTTCTATAAAGAACCTGTACAATTAATAAAAATCTAAGCTAATAGCACAATATTTCCTGTGTGAAAAATATAGCATTTTATTAGTCTTTATTGCAGCACAAATAATTAACATCAGTTCCCGACAGAACAACCACATCAGTACTAAGGCAGGATTGAGCACATATTTTCCTACATGATATTGACCCACTCTGACATTATGTTTACTCATTTTACTTTGTGTGCATTGAATTGAGCATTTTTTTTACATGGAATAATAATAATAATGCAATGTGTTTGTGTGTGTGTGTGTGTGTGTGTTGAACTCAAGATATTTTCTTGTGTGTGTATGTGTACGTGCGTGTGTCATGATGTTGACGTTCTGGTCTGTGCACAATAACATTGATGATGATGATTTTTTCTTATGTTTTCTCTAAAACATTTACCACCTGTGAGACTGTCTTATTTATGCTTTATGTAAAATTCATCCAAATAAACATGTGTTTTTACAAAATCAAATGTGGTGCATATTAAGTTTCTCCACAGTTACAGCGCAGACTTACAACACATGGCTACTCACAGTAGTGAAGCAACAACAAGCACTTTAATAGAAACAGTGTACTACAGATGGGTAGTTCCTCCATTTGCTCTCAGATGTCTTCACATTAATTTTACAAACATTTTTAGAAACTTTTCTCTGCTCCACGTTGACTGTGACTGCATCACATGATTTCTACAGGCCAGCTTTACATTCATGCTGCATCACAAAGGTTCTATTGAACTCATGTTCATGAAACCAGTTTGATGCTTTGAGATGAAATTATCCAGTAATATATCATATGAGTATATCATTTATTTTTAAATATGTTTTAATCTACAACCTGTGGTTTACCCATTATTCTTAGTATATTTTCCTTATGCTGCTGTGTCAATTGTGACTTTCCTCTGTGCAGGGCCAATCAAAGGTCCAGCTTATCTTTATTATTCTCCTGTTTTGCTCCCAACTTTAATTTGATATTTGGGAGACACTTAGTCTACAATGCAAATGTTATATGGAACACAATGTTCATGGTTTTTGTTGTAGACATGTGACACGTCGAGTGGTCTCAAAGAAAAACTGCATAATTCTGATGTTATTGCCTCGGGTTGTTTTTTATTCTTTTTTATTATCATTAGTAGTACTTTTGGTGGATTTTTATTTTTATTTCAAATATGATAATTGTCTTTATTTTTTAACCTATGGTTAAAAATTGATTCCGTTTTTCTGTAACTTTAAGATGGACCCCAAGAAGACTCACTTTATTGCACAGCTAATGGGGAATAAAACAAATAAACTAATGTTGAGTGACTCCATGAAACCCCATGAAAAGTTGATGTTTTATTCCTCACTTGATTTGAGCTCCTCTGTGGTTTGAACTTTTCACAGCAAACCCAAATCTAAATGAGTGATTCAGAGTAAGTGAGAAGATATTAATGGCTGTGGTTTGTTTTTTGCTCTAGATGAGTCTCTTTTCTGTGTCACTTCAGTTCACACTCTTTTCATTCAGACGCCCTCCGCTCTCGTCAGAGCAGCCCAACAATAGAAGCAGATGAAACAGGAGAGGAGCTGCTCTATAATTAATAATGAGGAGGAATCCTAAATCAACATCACTTCTGGAGTTTTGTTTAAATATAAACAGGTTGTTGTTACATAACTGATGCAGAATTTAGCATTTTTGCTTTTGGCCCAAAACTAGGACAAGATGTAAACAAGTGGAATTCATTATATTTCTATATCTATGAAAATATAAAATATAAACTGGTGCATTCACAGTTGCACAGGTGATAGAAGTACAGGCCCTGTGTTTTGTGGGATTCCAGGCTGTCATTGTGTCCACTATGAGTCAGGACACAGTATCTGACTCAGGACCTGGTGGAGTGTCCAGTTACCGAGCCGTTGCCACAGCAGTGTTGCTGAGCAGCATCTGACATGTTGAGATCAGGTACCTCACAGATCTGCAGCTTCAGAACCCTGGACAGCGCCTCGTTTTACTCCATTCATCCAGGTTTGCAGGTGGAAAAGCATCAGTCGATCAGGAGGAGACCACGATGGATGGATGCTTCACCAACACCGAGGAATATAAGGTTGATGCTTTAAGCCCCAAAGGCTCCACTTAGAGGGATGTTCAGGAAAATCAACAATGTCTTCCGTCCCAACCACCCCGGGCACAGGGGCCGGGATGCAGGTGGGTGCAGGAGCGAACAGGATTACCACAGCGCCTGCACCGTCAGGCTGGTCCGCAGCACCTCCATGCTCGTGGTGGGGGAGAGAAGCCAGACGGCCGCCGCAGTGGGCTCCACTTTAAAACGCAGCAAGAGTTCAGTGAGCATAGAGTCGACCTTGTACTATTACCAGAGGCAAGAGGACCAGATATGGCTGTACTCTCAGAACCAGAACTGCCTGGAGTACCTGGAGGCCCTGGTGGCTCTGAGGCGGCGCTACACCCAGAGTGTGAACGACCTGAAGGGCAGCGACATCCAGGCCAACGTGGCCTCCCCAAGGAAGAAGCCTGCACCCCCCCCGCCTACTAAACAGGAACCGGTGAGGTTTTAAAATCGTCCCTGAGGTGCAGGTGATACCACAGAGAGATGTTATTATACAGTTTTATTTTATTTAAACCACCAGGTACCGAGAGCCAAACCCTCGGCTCCTCCGGCCCCCACAGAGGAGGACACTCTGCAGTTCTTTGACTCCGTCATCGCCAGCTGCGACAATGAGCCTCCACGTAAACCTTTCCTGGATGATGGACATGCAGATGTGGACTTCATAGGTGAGTCTGAGAATCTGTAATGATCAGTAGTTTACATTTTCATTAATATTCAATATATCAACTCCATCAAGTTAGTTATGTGTTGAACTCTGTCTGTTTGTTTGTTTGTTTGTTTGTGACCAAGATCATGTAAAAACTACTCAACCGATTGACATGATTGACATGATATTTTGTGGAGAGTTGAGGCATGACCCCAGAAAGAACCTTTTAAATGTTGGTGCAGATCCAGTTTTGTTGTTTCACTTTCTCTGACATTGTGAGATACAACATTGTTTTTGACATTTCTACTGATTTCACAGAGGATTATTCATTATTCTTGATTTTAAAAAAAGCACATTTAGGGAACTGATATTTATGAGTTTGTGCAAAATGAGCAGAGTAAGTATTTACATGGGGTCAAATCCAAACATTGTTTCTGGGGATTAAGTCTTTGTCACCTTGTCTGTGTCTTTTGTTGTTTGTGTGAGTCACTGTAGGATTTGAAGTGGTGGTGATGACCACCACTCAAAATGCCAGTCAAGTTATTATGTTATGGGGAAGATTTTTCTCTCCACAGTTGCCACATGCTTTCACATTCTGCTAACTGTTGCGTTTCTCTTTCATTATTAATGTCTCAACCTTCCATGTAAAGGGCCTTGAGATAATGAATATTTAGATGTAGCGCTATACAAATAGTACATAATTAAATTGACTATACAGGCTGCAGAAATACAGTGGTATTATGACCATATGTTGCTTTACCAACTCATATAAATTATTTAAAATCAGCTCCACATTGACCAGCCTCTATATACAGTGTATATATGAAGACAACATCAAAATTACATATTTTTATTTTTGATACCCAGACCACAAAGTGATATGATAAATATTTGAATAAGGAATAGTTTAATAGTATTTTATACTATTAAGATTACCCTACAGAGGTTATAAATACATCAAATATGATGTATTGCAAGAGATTAAACTTAAAAATGAATTCCACATTTGCCAGTTTACAAAACAACATTTTGTATTGATACTTAATAAAATTACTGAATATGATATTACACTGAAATGGCCCCTTTTTGTACTGAGTCCTTTTCCTTTTGCTGCTGTTCATTTCATTAATTATATCTACTTTCACTTAAGACATTTCCTTATGACAGTGTTTTTTTTTCATTCATCTTTTACTTCACTTCATTTTAAAAGTCAAAAAATACATTTTACAAAATAAACTAAATTATAATATTCTGCATTTCTATGTTATGTGGTACATATATAGCTAGTACTAGTACTGGTTTGTAGCATCAAGGCCACAGAACTGAACTGGTAGACTTTATTAAATGCAGCCAGTGTTAATGTTGTGAATTACAACATTAACCTTTCCCTCTGTGGCATGTCAAAGAGTATGACGTGAAATGGGCTGGATATGGGTCGAGCATGGATAAGGATTTAGAAAACCTGATGACGTTTTGTGATCTGCTTGCTTTTTTCTGTCCCATATCATTTGTCTGCTTGGATAGTAAATAAATTAGGAGCATTGTGGGTTCTGTTGTTGAAGTACCAGCTCTTGGCCTCAAATCTTTTGACCTCTGACTCTATTCTCCTCTCACACAGTCGCCTCCAGCTCAGCTGAACACGACCTCCACTCCAATTGGGTCTTGCGGGTTCCTCGGGTTGCCGATGACTCCAAGGAGAAAGCCGCTCGTCACTGTGCCAAGGAAAGTGTCTCCAAGAAGAAAACCAAGAGCGGGTCCACGAGCAGCCGACTGCGGCTTCAGAGGAACCCGATCCACCTGCCCAAGGTGGTGGAGAGCGCTTTCCAGACTCTGCGCTTCAAGCCCAAATTAAAAAAAAAGAGTGAGGCTTGATGAGACATTTAAAACCTGCGTTGTTTGGACAGACACCGTCTCTGCACGGAAAAAGGTTTGTCTGGACAATTAATATTTATATATTAAAAAACAATTGTTAATTAATCAAATAAAATTAAACTAACCAGTGACATAAATTCAACTCCTCTTGGCCCAAAATGGACTCGTCAGTAAGAAACTGAGGGGTTACTGGTGTGGCAGCCTTGAGTGTGACAGAGCCAGGAACCGTAAATCAAAAGGGAATTTAGCCATTCATTTATTTAAATCTTTGTTTTTGTCCAGTGGGACGACAAAATATCCTCATATTAAAGAATCATGATCTGATGGATATTTAGCAATAGGGTGCCACTATAAAGCCGAAATGTAAGTTGGGTATTATTTGCAGCAAATGCTGACATAAAAATCCCTTAATTTCTCCCAACATTTATACAACCTATGTTTCTAAAGCATTTCTTTCAAGGGTTCTTTTTTAATCAATCAAGGGAATCGTGCTTTATTGTGATGGATGTT